TGTATGCTCAACATGTTTTATCAACACATTATCAATACAGAAGTATTTCTTCTTCTCTCCCTCTTCATTTCTTCTTCTCTTCCTCTTTATTTTTCCACTCTCAAAAATAATTATTTCGGGTATACGGGCCATCCCGACCCATTTTTGTATTTATAGGTGAGGGTAGATGGGTTAGTACGGATGAGGGTGATTAAAGGTCAATATGGATGGGTCAAGTGGGTCAGGGTTGATTAGGGTTAGGGTGGGTTATGACCCTTTAACAAGGATTGATGATGGGTCATGGTGGGTTGGTGGGTCAATATGGTGGGTTGGTATTCAACCCTTACCCAACCCACCCATTTGCCACCCCACCGCTTATGGGCTGCCTCTAGAGAGATCCATTAAAAACTAGATGAGTTTTTTGGACTGGTGAAGGTGCTGTTGTTCTAGCATTCACAGTAACTGGTGAACAGAAGGTGCTAATATTGTGATTTGATAGATGAGAGGCGAGACAAGCCTAATCAGCTGTCACAACCCAATTAGCAGATTAAAGACAGATTCTTTAGTATCCATAGTCAGCCATCATTTCATCAAGATCCTAGATCAATCAATTAACTAGCAGATAGTCTTGCAAGAGAGGGTATTTTGAGGACTATCAGTGTCTTTGAGGGCATATTTTACCAGTTTTATAATTAAAGATAAACAAGAGCTAATAAAGAACATCTATTTTCAGGACTGACAGGGAATTACATAATAAAACAAACTGGGTGTAGAAGAAAGGTAGTGGAAGCAACCATCCAAAAAATAGTTATCAAGATTAAAGATCAACTAATATATCCTCCTCACTTCATAATTTCCACATAAATACATAATGCAAATAACACATGCATATGTACATATGCACACACATGTATATGAAGTTCAAGCCAGAGTGCAGAATCTCCGGCTGGAACAGAGGCACTACAGGCCAAGGCTGAATCTAATTCTGGCCTCAAAAATGAGCCAGGGCCTGAATCTAAATCTGAAGTAAAAAATGAGCCTGCATCCAGCCCTTTCCCTATTGACATTTGGGAAGGAATGATTCTCTCTCTGGCTGCACCTCTTGGGTTCAGGACGTGCCAAGCAAAATCGCAACCTTAATCATGAATAATGAAGTTGACCTAATAGATTCATATTTTGGATTGGCAGTTTCTATATCATTGAATCACATGCATCTGAATTCTCAATCCAATGCTGCAGTACAAGCCAGAATTGAGTGGTCCAGGTAAAAATAAACATATTAAACATGAAGGTTCATACAGTGGAGCTCGAAATGGTCTTTCACGTCCTCCAAAGCGAAGCTGTCCAGACTCCTTCTTACCACCAAGGCCCCCTCCTATTTATGAAAGAGAACATTTAGAATGATCTTGTAAATAAACACCTATTGGTTAAAATGGAGCTTCTTTAACTGACCTAGCCTTCGTGGAATCCACCCTGGCATCAACTGCTGCCTGTTGTAATCCACTATAATTTCAGAGTCATCAATTATGGAATGATGTGCATCCTACATATAATAGGAAAATAATTCATCAAAAAATGACCATAAACTAGTTTTTTTTGGCTAAAATACTCCACAATATTTAGTCAAAAAGTCAAGAATGTCAATTACTTCAAGAAGCATCTGTCCACCACAAAGTCACATGTATCCATAGGTAAAACCTGTTCAAGGTCATTACAAATGTATTACAGTTGTCCATATGAATAAAGGTGGCTGACCATGTTATCCCACATCTCTTCAAAATGAAGTTTCCATAGTTTTAACGAGTTAAAACATAGCATAACAAGATAAATTCACCATTTCCTCAACCATTAAACATTATGACCTTAATAGCTTGACCATGGACTTCAGGTTGGCAAGATTCTAGTCAACTCAACAATGCCTTATCCTATTATTTGTGGCAAGTATTCAGATTGACGAGGTTGTTGCTAACTATTTGAGGAATTATCATCTCCCGCTCAAAGGTGATAATAAAGACTAAGGTGTTATTTGGTATCATTGACACGTCTACCTGCAACATTTGGAGTTGGTCAATACAAATTTTTAAGAAATGTGTCTTGTCGCATCACATAAGATAGTCACGTTAACTAACAAAGTGCATGCATGGTATTGATCATTGGCATTACAAAATGTCAAATTTGACACTGCAGGTAGAAATGGCAATTTGTATTGATCAACGCAAAAGGCTTGTGGTCGAAAAAGTATCTTCTCAAAAATTTGTGTTCACCAACCCCAGACGTTGCAGGTAGAGGTAGCAATGATACCAAACAACACAAATATTTTTACCAAGACATTACAATCATTGACAGTGTTGTCATAAATCTTGCATACATACACCAAAAGACAAAATGATAGAGGAAATATAAAAATATAACAAAACCAAAAAATGGACACCACCAACACCTAGAAGGAACCAAGATAGCCCATCGCACATAAACAACAAAGTGAACCTTGGATGACCATCAAGAGGTATCAAGCTCTCATATAAAACAAAGAAAATATCCCAGAACACCTAATAAATGGTGTTGAAGATTAATTAGTTTTATGATGTTTTTCTGAGTAGATGTTTTATGTTAGTTGTTAGATAGGAGGTGGGGACCACAGTAGTTATGTGAGTCCAAATTTTATTAT